CATATGTTGTATACCTTTAAGCCCAGCTGTACATCGATCATGGTAACTCATTTCGTCCCACATTTCTCTCAGCACACCAATATATGCGGAAAGAGACATATTTCTTTGGCCAGGATGCTATGGCACGATGCATTTGGAATATTGGCTATTAACCTTTTGAGAGCATTGCTCTGCAAGGACATCCATATGTCTTTGGCCATTCTCAAAAACATCATACTATCAGGTTTCATGGAGCTAAGTGACCATGATGTTATTATTGGCATCATTAGCTCTCCAATCAGCGAATATTGGTATGTAGAACTAGGGACCTTTGATATCTCATCTACATGATCCATTTTATGTCACCCTAGAGCAAACACTCTGCCTAACATATTCTTCCATTCAATTTGAGATTTGCAAACTTGGGTTATCTAGAAGTAATTTGACTAAACTATGGTATGGATTTTTTTAAGGTGGACCCAGCAAAGTGCCCCAAGAAACAGGTCTGCACCACAATAAATGTGCTTGAAAAGAAAGTTCCAGAAACATTTTTCATAGATGCATTGCCTTGAGTCCAATTTGATGCCATGCATTTGTATCAATCTCTAAAACATCGGCTGAGGAAGCAGGGCAGCAATAAAAAACTAAGAGATCATGCAAATCTGATGCTCTTTTGATCCCAGACTTCTCGAGGGTACTAAAATGCTTAAAATGAAACTCCCCCAATACTGGTTTGACTTGATTGAGCTTTAGAAAAGTGGTATTTTCAAAGAGCTTTATATTCAAACCCATCAATGAATTTGAGGTTTGAAGGTGTTGGTGTGGGTGAGAGCTGCAGCCCTTAGAGATGGCATCAGTTCTAGATTATGCCACAAAAAATAACTTTTGCAGTTGAAAGCTTGTGCATAAGATGGTTGACAAAACTGCTCTTTTGTTTTGTTCTTTCTTTTAATTATGTTGACTATTGTACGAAGTAATAAAGGGATATACAACCATGAGCGTATGCAAAAAATACGCAACCGAGGTCTTGGGTGCCCTGTACAAAAACCCTTTTAGGGCCCAAAAAATGCTCTACAACAAGAACAGAGAAAAAACTGTAAACAAGAACGGGGACTACGTGCTCAAAAATTGCCAATAATCCCCATGGAGTAGCTAAGTCTTGCTCATTCGTAGCTAAATCGTCGGTAACCTCGTTGGCTTCCGTGAAGGTATGATGCGCATGGTCCTGCATGTCTGCAAGGGGCCTCCAGAAGTTGGGGTTCGATATTCTGGCAGGCCCTGATCTGACAAGGTTATCGGCCACAGTAGAGTGGGAATCTCGGGCTAGGAGGAAGAGGTTTGGGAACTGGTTCCTAAGTGGAGCATGTCCTACCCAAGTGATGGACCAGAACAAGATCATGTTCCCCTCCCTCGGGCGATAACATATCTGATTTTGGTAGAGGTTGCGGCTGTAGAGGAGGGACCTCCAAAAGCCTTAGATGTTACCACTACCCCTGCATGTTGGGAGCCAAGCATGATTCCCAAGGCAGTATTTGCAACGAATAACCTCTCTAAAGATGATTGGGTTGCGTGGCATAACACCACCACCATTTCCTCAATAGTGCAGTATTGTTAAACTTAAGACTACGAATGCCCAGACCTCCTTATGCTTTGGGTTTGCACACCTAAGCCCGAGAGATGAGATGGAACTTGTGCCCTCCTCCCGACCACGTGAAGTCCCTCATGAGTTTCTCCAGCTAGCAGCAACAGAGGCAGGCATTTGGAAGAGGCACATTTGAAACAAGGGGATATTAGAGAGATCTGCTGGCAGAGGAGAGAAACCTCCCTTTCCAGCCTGCGAGCCTCTGGCCGAACTTGTCGATGATGAAGCTCCATTTGTTGAGTCTCGACATTCCGAGGCATAGAGGGAGTCCCAAGTAAGTAGAAGGGAGGTTGTCTACCGAGCAGCCCCACCTGCCAGCAAGGCTTTGAACTAACTGGTTGTTGATGCATATCCCCATCATCTTAGATTTTGCCATATTGACTCTAAAACCAATGGTCAACTCGAAGTATTAGAGAAAGAGGAGGAGGTAATCGACCTGTTGCTGGGAGGCATCGTAGTAAAGAAGTGTTTCATTTGCATATTGAAGGTGGGAGATGACAAATCCTAGCCTTCCTATATGAAATCCTGTGAGAAGGCTCGCTTAGTCCACCTTAGAGATGGAAGCACTAAAGACCTCAGCTATGATAGCAAAGAGGAAAGGGGACAAAGGATCGCTCTGGCGAAGGCCTCTTGATGCCGGGAAGTAACCTCAAGGGGAACCATTGATGAGCACTAAGAAAAAGAGATTAGAAATACATCCCTGGATCCACCTTTTCCACCATGCATTGAAGCCCATTCTGAGGAGGGTCTCATTGAGGATGCTTCAGTCTATGCGATCCTAGGCTTTCTCCCAATCGAGGCTTTCTCCCAGTCAAGTTTGATGACTAGGCTTGGGATTTTGGAAAAATGACGGGAGTGAATGCACTCGTGCGCTACTAGAGCCCCATCATGGATCTGGCGATCCTTAACAAAAGCCCCTTGAGTTGGGGAGATGACCCAGCCGGGGACACCCTTGTGTCAAGATGCTAGGACCTTAGACAAGATCTTATATGAGCTATTAATCAGGCTAATGGACCTGAAATCTTTGAGTTCTTTGGCCCCTTCCATCTTAGGTACCTGCACTATGAATGTTGCATTCATGGCTTTATAGATGATCCCTTGGGAGTAAAACTTCTCAAAAAAGGCAAGGATTTGAAAAGAGCAACATGATAAGCATCAAGTCCTACGGCTCGATCCGAAGTGAGGTCGTTAATTTCCCTAAGGATTTCCTCCTCAATAAATTGGTGTTCCAACCATGCTGATAAATAAGGCAGGACGTAAAGGAGAGGTTGGCCATGGCAGGTTTTAATAAACCATATTTGAGGTCACGATTCTTGTTTGGAACCTTGATTCGGTGAATCCAACGAGGAATTTTCACAAAATCCATTTCAGGAACTCGGGAATCTCGACTCCTTAATTTAGGAATCTCATTTCAAACCTTTTTGGAATCTCGATCCCATTATTTTTGGGATCTTGGTCCCAACTTTTTGGAATCTTGATTCTAATATTTATTGATCTTGACTCTACATTTGTTGATTCCTGACTCCACATGTAATGAATCTTTATTCATTTTGGTTTTGAATCCACAATCCACAGCATTAAGTACCTCGATTCGTAGGTGCCGGGAACTGTGATTCAATCAACATGGAATCTTGCTTCGACCTTCATAGAATCTCGATGTGAACTATTTGGGTGGAATCAAGGGATTGTTGTTCCTTGGTACACAAATTTAGGATTCATTGTACGTGCAATCTCACCTCAAATATTTATGGATTCTGATTTCAGATATTTGCAAACCCCAATGGAGGATATTAGTTCACATGGTTTGTAGGTGCTTCAAATGGTAATCCGATGGAAGCAATGCTGAAGTATTGATAACTCGAATCAACTTTCAAATGCATAGTTTTAGACTTACAGATACTCAACATGTATGATTCTAATGTCATTTGCAGTTTAACAAAGGTAGCTATAACTAGCGCATTGGAGCATTAAATTCAAGAGAATTTGGTCCTTCAGGCATTAAAATTTAAACACTCCACATCTTGACCTTCATATCACAAGGCACAAAGCCCTCAATACGTACGAGATTTGCACTCATTTTTTTATTTTTTATTTTTTTTTATTTTTAGAGAAATGATGTTTTCTATGTCAAACCTCTCTTTGTTTTGGACAAGTAATGTTTACGATATCAAAGCATCAAATTACTCAAGACCCAATCTCTAGTTACAAGATGCAATCATCTTTATGTGATATTTTTTGACAGCAAATGACCAATAAAATCAAGTGGCCTATATTCTTTATAGACTGATTTCATTAACCGTGCATTGTAATGATCCATTAGAGAGATTGTAAGTCTAGAAATTAAAAAATAATGTACACATACATGTGTGCTAAGTTGATCAAAGATTGCCCCTGAAACTCTTTGTTACATAATTTAATTTTGGATGGCATTATCGGACTACTGCTTTGGTAAGACCTTATAAATGGTTTGGTAATGCTTCATTGCCTAGTAGAACAAAAAATTAGAGCTAAGTATCCATGTGTTTGCTTGATGTTTGATTATAAGAGGATTACAAATCTCGATTGCCAGATGGGTTAAAACCCGAATCCAAACTACTATAAATCTCGATTCCAATGTGGGTCAAATCTCGATTCTGAACTGGTATGAATCTTGATTCGAAATGCCTAGGAATCTTGATTCTGTAATTGGAAAAATCTCATTGACATATTGGTCGATTCCACATCGGTTGGAAACTCGATTTCATAGAGCTAGGAATCTTGGTTCCATCTAGGTAGGGATCTCGATTCCATTTTGGTTGAATCGCGTTTCCTATAAAATAGGAATCTCGTTTCCCACAATTCCTCTTGTACAGACATTTGTTCCGGAAACAGAAATCTTCTAGCTGGCCGCGATTCTGTGATTCCAAATCCTAATACAATTCGGATTTAGAATAGTTTTCAACATATATGGAATAAACCCTAAGGTATATGGGCTAGATCTGCTCATTTGATGCATAGCTTTGAGCAAATATTTAAGTGGAAGCTGTGAGTGTATGACCCTACCTTGATACCATGTTGTAATAGATTATTCGATGAGAACAGGTTGAGTTGATACTAGCCCACACTACAATAATGAAAGGAAAGAGAATGACAAAAAAGAAAAGGGATAGAGTCACGGAACAACAATTGTAACCAGCACCATTTCATATACTTTGTATTCGTAGAAAATCTGTCCGCGGACTCTTTACATTGTACACTTAAGTCCTTATACGAGTTCTACATAAATATAACATAAAAAAAGGATAAAAGTATACATAAACGACAAATATGCCCTTTTGGGTCACATCTGTCCTCAAGTAGTTGTCTACTGTTAGTAACTGTTGTTTTTTTGGACTGTCAGCATGCCGAGATAAGTTGTGTGGATCATTAGATGGCCTCTTTCAAATCTATCATAGGGCGGTCAGTGGGGAAGGCGGTTACAAACTGTCCACCGAGGATTCATTGCATTTAGTGGAAGCTTTGAGGTACTCCCCAGAGTGTGGTTTTGTAAACTTTTTGCGGGGATATCGGAAGACTTACTCACAAACCCTGCCATTGGCATATTATGTCTTTACTAACATTTTAAATGGTATACATCTACTCTTCCATGCAGTATGGTTATCACAGAACTGCCACCAGACCATGCGAAAAAAGCTGTTGAAGCGTTGTGCCTACCAGCTGTAACTCCTTTACAGGTCAGTGCCAATAGTGCCATTTTTTAGGAGATGCTTTTACTGATACTCTGGATGGGTGTTTACTATCCTTTATTGCCATTTCAGCAATTGATTGGTCAGGCCATGGATTCTTCCCAACAAATTACTGCAAGACAGTTTACTGTTCATATTGATCGTCTTTCAAACATTTTCCGGTAAATATGAAATGCCTAGTATGCGTCCTAAATTAGAGCGTCTTATTTGTATGGAAGGATGATAATAAGTTCATTGACTTCAGGTATGTAAGTCATCCTGAGGCTGTGGCAGATGCATTTCAGAGACTCTGGCCAATATTCAAAGCGATATTTGATAAGTGAGACACTTAAGAATAAAAAATCTCCTGCAATGTTCAAGAATAACTAATAAGTCATACTTCATTATATGTTATAAGTATCCATATCTTCTTGAAATATAACTTTCGACTTGTCTTACTTTACAGCCGTGCTTGGGATATGCGGACAATGGAATCATTATGCAAGGCTTCCAAATATGCTGTAAGAATTTTTGTGATGGATATTTGCAAATGTTACATACATTTCATGTGCTTTCATTCGTTACATATTCCTGTAGCTGCATCACCTATAAGAAGATGCTTTATAGGCATAAACATTTTTGAAAACTAGGACGATTACATCATTGATGTGGGAAGCATTATGTATTGATTTCTGTGTCCAAATCAGTGTTTGTAAACGAAGATGGGTTTGGACTCACTAGGGTCCTGAGCCTGGGTCATCCACAGAATTGGCCAAGTTGACGGTCCAATTCTGGCTAAATAACAAACGTAGGACTTGAAGCTCGGTTGATTCGCCCAATTTTCAGGCCTTTTCATCTGGACATGTAACAATCCCAATTTTCACGCTTTTTCATCTGGACATGGAACTATCCCGGGTCCAAGTTACTTGGGCATGTCCGCACCCAAGCCATTGATTTTGCATAACTACTGCAAAAGTTGAATTCAAAATTCTCTTCTTGATCAATATGCTAACATGAATAGTGCACTATATCATATAGTGTGTATGGAACCATAATCTTATGGATATATATGTGCATTATTGAGGGAAGTCATGCATGTTGTGATTTAGTTGATATAAGTTCGTTATTTGGACATAATAACAAAAGCAATGTGATGTCTTTAAGGTGCGGACTTCTGGAAGATTCATGGGGGTAACGATTGGAGCTATGTTGGAGGCGGTCCAAGACAAGTATCAACAGCATCATCAATCATGCTTCCTTTATCTTTCAAGTGAAGTTATAAAGGTTTGTTGAGAATATTTTGAGCACCATAGGTTACATTCGTTGTAGGTTTATCACGTACCTTTTATCAAAAGAAAGGTTTATAGCATGCCTTGTTGACCACATTATATTTCACAAACAGATATTTGGTTCTGATCCAACTTGTGCAACTTACCTCGGCTCCTTAATAAAGGCACTTTTTGGCCATACAACACATCTACTAAGGAGTATAAAGGTATTCAACCAGAATGCCTTATGCATCTTTGCCTTATGCATCTTTACCTTATGCATCTTCGCTTGCTTCAAGTGGTCCTCTTATATTATCTTGCATGAGTTTCCTCTAATGAAAGTCTCTAGTGAGTTTCAGTGGATAGTTGACCTTGTGAAAGTGCTCATGAATATGTATCATTGTGATGTTCTTTTATGTAGGATTTTACTGCTCGACCAGACATAGCAGATGATTGTTATTTGTTGGCATCAAGGTGCATGCGTTACTGCCCACATATCATTGTTCTCTCCCCTGCTTTTCCACCATTGGTTGACTGCTCAATGATCGGTATCACCGTACAACACAGGTAACATTCAGCCAAGTCTTTAGCAAGTCTGTAGTGGCAGCTAACCAGGTTTTTCATTCATGAAAATCCTTATGTAGAAGTGGCTTTATCATTTCATGCGGCTTTATCATTTCATGCTTCCAAAAGTAAACCTCAAGAGGAATTGGCTTCCTGTGTTTGCTAATTAATCTCCATTACAAATGCAACTAGCTTGAATCTTTAATTTTGGTGTACACTTTTTATTGTTGGAGCCTTTTCTTATTGATCTGCACTGTACCCTGATCTACAGAGAAGCTTGCATGTCGATCTTGACATTCTTATCTGACGTCTTTGATCTCACAAATTCTACTGCTGGGGAGCAGTATCGCTCCACTATTGACAGCGTGGTAATTCCAAGAGGTGCAAGCCTCACTAGAATACTGATAGCCTCATTAACGGGTGCACTCCCAACATCTCGGCTTGAAGAGGTTGGTCTAGCCAAAAGCCTCCAATCAGATTATTTTTGCTCTCATAAGTTGTTTAGACCTCTCAATGGGGTGTGATTGGTTTTCCAAAAATGAAATAAATTGTGTTTGATCATTAGCATTTTCAAAAGAACAAAAATTATGTTTGATCTTCAATTCATCATAAATTTACACCCTCATAATTTGTTCAGTTCTCTGAATGGAGTGCGAAAATAGTGAATTAAGGTTGTATGATTCTGCACTCTCGTGATCTCCATGGGGTCCTGTTACTTTCAAAAAGTAGATTGGGGTGTAAATCATTATAAATCTGTGAGCAGAAATTCTTCAAATTTCTCAATGGGGTTCGACTGATCTGAACTTGCATGATGGTTGAACCTTTGAATGGGGTCTGACTATTACATATTTGCAGGTGACATATGTGTTGGTTTCGCTTACAAGGACCTATGGTGCAAAGGTGTTGGAGTGGGCAAAAGAAGCTGTTTCTTTCATACCATCCAATGCTATAACAGAGGTCGAAAGCTCGAGATTCCTAAATGCATTGTCTCAGGCTGCTAAGGGCGCCGTGTTGTCAGAGCTCTTGGAACCATTGGAGGAGCTTTCAGAGATTTGTCGCCGAAATAGAACTGTGCAAGACATTGTACAGGGAGCCCTAAAACCTTTGGAACTAAATTTTGCAGCAGTTTCTTAGCATGAGTTTGTTTTTGTTTTTCGGCTTTTGTTATTTGTGTCGGGGAGGAGAAGCAGTGCAGTCCTGCAGGGTTTTAGGCCCTCAGGGAAGAGAGAGAGAGAGAGAGAGAGAGGAGGTA